AAAGGAGCATGTGAATGTAATCAGCTTTTATCCATGTAGCATGTTCATAGTATGAATGACTTATTTCTAAGTTACAGGAAAAGCCTACAATTTTTTGAATCTAATATGTCAAAATAAACATCAGGAAATAAAAAGAGTCAAGAGTATGAAATTTTGAAAAAAAGAAGAAAAAAAGAAAACACAGTTTCTTATAATATACAGGCCAAAATATCAAGAACAAAACAAACTCAAGATTACCAAAATAAAAAGGAAATTATGTATTATTTATATGCTTGCAACATTCCACTACTAATTTATAGGTTAATTAAAGATAGACTTGTTGGTTCCTTATGGTCATTTCTTGATTTTATAAAGTTCAAATAAACCAAAACATGAAGGCATAGAACAGGATTTTTAAATTTACATTTGTTGACATCATTCATGTACAACGGACCAAGAAAATTAGCTGAACAGTGTGAGTCGCAGTCACTTCATTCTTCCCAAGTCAGTTAGTGCAGTCAGGCAACAAGATAATCAATGTGGGCACGCATCAGGTGATGAAACATAATTTGACCAATGAGCATGATCACTCCAAGTAATCAGGCTTTGACGAGAAGACGAGTTTTATCTGATTTTCAAATGTGAAAAGCACCTTTTCCTTCAATTGCAAGAAATGATACAACCATACAGCAAATATAAACAATAACTTAGCAGAAGAATGTGATCAAAATTCGATGAAAAATAAGACAGCATATAGATAACTACAAGTGGTCTAATAGAAGCACATAACACGAAGCATATATTATGATATATAAAGATCAGAAGAGACCCATCCTGTTATACCTATGAAAGAATTCAAGCCCTGTTATAGCACGCCTGACTGATGCTCGCTTGTGTACATTCAGAAATCCAATCATGCGACGAACCAAAGCAGTATAAGCAAGACAGGCACTGTTCCGTATCTCCCAGTGTGGAGAAGAGAAACACCGTATCGAGATAATCAAAGCCTCAGCAGAAAAACCCGACGTATCAGTTGCTAGGTTGGTATCATTAAAAGCAACTCTAAGGACATTGAAAGCATGCACAGTAGGAACAACACCCTCATCTCGATTCTTCGAAATCCTTTCAGCCTCATATATATCAGGGGCAACTTCAGAAAAATTAGCTGGACTTTTTGCCTCCACAAAACCATTGCAGGCATCAGCACTGAAACTGTTTGTTTCAGTATGATCTGTTAAAGACTTATTAGCAACATCTATTAACCATCGTATTGCCCTAGGCAAAAGCCTTTTTGGTGTGCCCTGCGGCTCTGAAAGGAAGAAAGCAATAAATGCTGCAGGAATACCAGCACTTCTCCTTAGGAGATCATCCACTGTTTGTCCCTTGGCTACTGTTCGTTCCATAAGTTGCTCCATCCAAGACTCAGTCAACTTACAAAGTCTGCAAAAACGAAAAGTAACCTTAGAAAATGAATTCAGAATGCATGTCGTTTATCTTTGTAGTGAACTCTGCTATAATCCTAACAATGAAAGTCCAACATTGTCAAATGCAATATGGCATGAATTCAAAATTTCAAATCCATCAATTTCCTAGTCCTCATAGGTAACAGCAGTTATCCGTTAGAGACTACTATAAACAGACACCAAACAGAAAATTAATAGCTAATCTTCAGATAAAAAGTTATCAAGCTGGAGAAATGGTGTCAAACGAAAGCCTTCCTTTCTGATAATTTTAAAAAGAGAACGGCGTTAGTCCACCTACCATACCTGTTACACCTTTTTTTAAACTTTCTGCATCTGCAATATTTTTTTTTCATTTTTCAATTTTCTTTCTTTCTTGAAGGGCATGCAAGGGAGGGATGAGAGTTGGACAGAAACAGCCGTAAAATTGGTATCTCCAAAGAAACAGGAATTGGAAGAAAAAACAAATAATAGACCTGAATAACAATAACAAGATAGCAAATGAGTTAACAAGAATGCCTTAGCTACTGAACGCAGGTCAACACCTCTGTCATGAAGCAAACAACAAACTAAATTATCTACAGCACAATATTCAGATATCTCCTTTTTCCTCTGCATTGACAAGACATGAGTGAGCTTGCTTACAAGTGCATGACAATGAGTTTTAAGAGATTTAAATTTTTCTTTTTTTTTTTTTGACAAGGTAAAGGTTAAGTTTTAAGAGATTCAAATTTAAATCTATCTTTCATGATTCCCTTACTAAACTCTGATTGCAATCTAACAACAAAGATTCAAAAAGTTCAACTCCAACCTTCTCTTAGAGGTGATATGACAGAGGAACTAAAAAACTTTAAGATGTCACCTACTGCCATTAACCTGAAGCAAGATTGGAAGCATCACTATTTTGGCTCTCCTTTTCCTTTCAATTTTTGCTTGCTTTGTCGCTTTAAAGCTTACAAGCTACTCAGGCTCACGAATTTTCAATGTTACTTGCTCAAGCAGGGAAGTGAGCTGAGCTCAACCTCACTAATTTTGAGCTCACTTCATCGCAAGCAGAACTCAATCTCTTTGATACCAGACTCTGGTTCATAAAACCCAATAGGACGGTGAATTCCCTTTCTAGTCCTTTTTTTTGGGTTGTTTTTCCCCCTTTCCACGTGGGGAAACCCCAAAGAACAAAGGAATATACCCTAGACCCTCTCAAGTTCTCCTCCTCTCCTCTTAGCTGCAGCCCACTGAAGGAGTTGCAGTACTCGCTGGTTTGCTGATTACTAGTACTGGATTCTATCACTTTCTTGGTGTCTGCTTCCCCACCTCTCTGTACTAGCAATCTGCCCAAGGTTCCTCCCATTGAAATTGGTGAGTCTTAAATGAAAATGAGAAATTTAGTAATTAGTCATTTTCAGTAATTAACAAACACATAGATGAAAAGGAGATGTCCGCTGTGAAACCACAGCATCATTCAGTTTTCTGATTTTAGAGAGAAATTATCTTAAGCTAGACCAAGATAAGCATGCCGCCTACAGCCTTGGCACTGGAATTCCTGCAAAACAACTAAGCATGTCGAAAACATGACTGCACATATAAAAGTAGAATCCAGTACACATACCTTGAATCATTCGAACAAAGTAATCGATTGCAAAGAGCAGTAAATCCAGCCCTTGTCTTATCAATAGCACCATTATGCTTCATTTTCAAAAGGACTTCCAAGAAATGGTTGCCAATTACCTCGAGTTGTTTCAGATCAAGCATTGCGCCAGACGTCATATTGGATAACTCAGTTTCATGAACAGCTTGAAAACCTGATTCAGAAACATCTGAAGTAGGTAAAGGAACCTTTCTTATTATTGTTCCCAAAAGAAGGCTCACCTGAAACAATGTAGATGAGAAGATATTGATTCTTCTGGAAATTTTAATAATATAAACTTCATATAAAGTAGTTGATTACAATCTACGATTCCTTCTTTTTGTTTTTTTGTTTAATAACGTTGGTGTCTGGGCCAACTTGAGTACACCTCGACTATTCCATCGGGTACCTGCTACCTCCCACTAACACAAGTACCGGATAACTCTACCCACTAAGGCCTATGCAGATGAGAAGAAATCAACTAGGGTCTGTTAGGAAAGCCACCCGGTAATTGGAATTGGTGTAATTACTAGGGTAGTAATTACACAGTATAGTAATTACGACGACATGTTTGTTTGTCATAACGTAATTACAATGTAATTACAAGCGTACCGTTTGGTTGCACAAGTATAATTACACGGTTAGATTAAATTTTAAATGAAGTAATTATCAAAACTTAAAAGTTAATATAATAAATATATGCCTATAAATAATTTTTTATAAGTATAAATAATATTAGATTTGGTATTTAAGATACATATATTTTCTTGAATATACATTAATTAGGAATTATATATTTATAACTAATATTGTAAAATAATTGAAATATATTTTTCAAATTAATAATATTCAATTTAATTAATTATAAGAACTAAAAACATACGTTTTGTAAGAACATCATGGAATGCATGTTTTATAAAATAAATCAATATTTATAAATATAATATATAACACTATTCAAATGTTTGACAAAACTAATCTATTAATTCTAACTAAAAAGTGAACATGCAATATGTAAAATAGACTTGAGCGTCATAGATTCATAATTATAAGCAAAAAAACATGCAATATGTAATAATAAGCCAATACTACTAAACCAAGTAATTAGAACCATAAATATAACACAACTTCAAAATCAAAAAAAAAAATTGTTTAACATATGTCAAATTCCAACATAATAAAAATAAGTTACAATACAACTTAAGATTAACAAACATAATTATAACCTCATTCAACAACAAAATTCTACTTTAATGGCGAATGAAATTTTTATTCATCACCAGACAAAACATATACATCAGCTAAGGTCAAATAACAGAAAAATAATAGCACATATAAAACATCTCCTATAAAACTAAAACTCTATAGCTTATTTACATTTGCCTATGTTGTTCTAGTTATAAAAATTTTCGATCTAGGCAATCTCTCATCCAATGTATGCATTCTTCTTTCACTTGTTTGCATAAGCTCTGTGGCCTTGGGACTTTGCTTTGTCACAGTGCTTCATTCATTGCCTTCCATATACCATATATCAATGCAGACATAATGGCAAGCACAAAGTTTTTCCTTAGTCGCCCTTTTACATTTCTTGTATTTTTTTTCTAAAGACCTTCCAGTTTCATGTTATGCACTCCTATCCTCAGCCATTATAGTGTCCCAGTAATGTCATGCTTTGGTAGAAGTGGCATTTCAAAAAACTAAGTGTGATAGTGGTCTCTGTTGCTTGCCACA